CTTCTGCTATTTAAGTTTGTTTTTTTTTTTTTTTTTTGCTTTCTCATCTGGCAGCAATGATAGGACTTTAAAGAGATTTCTTTAGGCTAGCTGAATACACACTGTAGAACTGCAAGGTTTCTACTATATATTAGAACTCATTTTAAGAATAAGGATTCAAAATAGGAATTGCCAGCCTTTCAGGACATAAATGAGCTAGTTTCCTCAGCACTCCTTAGAACACCTATGAACTGATGTGAGAATGCTTAGCATATTGCATGGAAAGCAGAGCATGTTGCAGGATCCCAGCAAGGTACGCAGCTCTGCTCTACTGTGCATGTGGTTACTTAAAGCAGAATTCTGACTGCATGACAGGTTTGTCACCTCTTACAAATCTGTAACTTGCATCCCATGCAATGGGAATTATGTACACATTGATAAAGACATAAAGGCCAGATGCTTATAGGCCAGAGCAGCAACACCCTAGTAAAGTTTTTAAGGATATTATGAAGTAAACAGCTGACTGCTGAAACTTGAATTACACAAATGCAAATACAGTAAGACAATCTACTGTACTTACTTTTTTTTAATAAACTGGTCCCACTCTTTAGATGAGTGCTTTTCTCATATTCCTAAACTCGATTTTTTGTATGCTTACTATTTCAAAAGATCCATTTCTGCCTGTCAATTAGAAAGCTATGTAAAACTTTGTTTCATTTTAAACCTGAATAAATGAGCACAATTACTTTCCTTCCCTGTTTCTAACATGCCTTAAATTCCTGGTTGTTTAGTCTGTACTGTCTTGAAAATTGGAGTACATGCCTTGAATCTATTTTGGTTGCATGCACATGTTAACTAAAAGTGTCTTATCACGTTGTACAGAATGTGTGTGTTGACAAGCACATGCCGAGGAGAAGAAAGTGTGAGGTTTTTTTTTTCTGGCTGGCATTTGTAACTAGAAGTTGGTTTTGTGGATTTGTGTTCTAAAGTTAGAGCAAGCATAACTGCCTTTGATCTCACCATTAAGGCTTACATTAAGAAAACCTATCATTAAATAAACAATGATAACCACAGTGAAGTGGAACAAGCTTCTACCTGTTTAAAGAAATTCAAACACTGGGTATTATCCCTTCTACTCACATAAAGCAACTTATTTTACAACAAAACTTTCACAGTACATAGTAGATCCAAAAGCAAATATAAGAGGAAACTTTCTGAGCTGTGTTAAGAATAACAAAGTAGTGTGAAAGTTTATAGTCCTATTTCAGCTTACGCAAGTATCCACCAAAAACTGTAACCAGTTATTTTTCAGGTTACAAATGTCTGAGAGATATCTAGACTAATATTTACAGTCATATTGGCTAAATTACATGGCAGTCAATCAAATTTGAGTTATATAAGGACTACCTATTAGGTTTGTAGGATCCAGTATGAAGTGGGAATATATCAATTTCACTTTTACCTAATGATATGAAACCACTGTAGGCAGAATATTGTTTCAAAGTCACTTTTTATCATTTGTAACAGGTACTACAGATCAAAATAAAGCTACAAAATGGATGGGTGGGCATGCACACAGTAAACCCAGGAACATGTTTTAAAAGTCTGTTATTAAAAAATGCAAGAAATCCAGGAAGTTGACAATTTCCAAAATGCAGTTGCTGTCAATGATGAATGGGGTGTCTGGAATACTAGTTCCACCGCATATAAAGCATGCTGATAAGGTTTTGTTGTTTAATTATAGCATCTTGTTCTGCAGGCTGAGGAGAGAAAGGATGTGTCACAATGTGTCTAGTAACGCCTAAATGATCCCATTCTGTTTCAGTGGTGTTGTGTTTTAAGGTGCCACTTCTGAGATGACACTTGAAGCTAGGATCATAATCACATGCTGTTACTAAAAGTACACCACCAACTTCAAATAAGTAATGTGAAAAAAAATGGAGCAACTGTAACAAAGGAAGTTCTTCTCTATTTCTTTGCTAGAACTGTCCTAACTGTAACCCTTACGTACTCACTGGGCATCAGAGGGCTAGAGCCAACTAGAGATGGATGTACGACTCTTCAAACCTTTTGAACATTGTCTAGAACAGCCATTCTGTTTCAGTGGTGTTGTGTTTTAAGGTGCCACTTCTGAGATGACACTTGAAGCTAGGATCATAATCACATGCTGTTACTAAAAGTACACCACCAACTTCAAATAAGTAATGTGAAAAAAAATGGAGCAACTGTAACAAAGGAAGTTCTTCTCTATTTCTTTGCTAGAACTGTCCTAACTGTAACCCTTACGTACTCACTGGGCATCAGAGGGCTAGAGCCAACTAGAGATGGATGTACGACTCTTCAAACCTTTTGAACATTGGTTTACTAAGCCTTATTTAAATGACCACAATTAAGCATTGCAAAGTATTTTAAAAATTGTTTAAGAATTAGATAGTAATCTCAGAACATTGGCAAAATTATTCTACCAGTCTGGCACTTATAATAAACTGAAATATGTCTTGCAGAGTAAGTCTTGAAAAGTTTGGGGGTTTTTTTTGTGAGGTTTTTTTTGGTTGGTTGGTTTGGTTTTGGCTTTTTTTTTTTTTTTTTAAGTACAGAAATGTAACTGCTACTGTAGACACTAACTTTCATTCCTGTAAGGCAACTATCTTTACTTTTGTCTGAGATAGGTTTAATTCTGCAGACCTATAATCAGGAACAACCTTAGAGTAGGCCTCCCTGACCAATGAACAACTGTTTGGCATAATTACAAAGTAAATTTTTCTGAAAAACTAGTAGAGGAGTAAGAGGCATGGCCAAATTATGTTAAAAAATTACTTTAAGTAACAACAGAATAATGAAAAACAATCAATCATCAGGATACCAACTGACTTTCAGCATTATATTTTATATTTCTAACATAAATGCTTTATATACTTTTCATTTCCAATCTGAAATGTTATTCAGATAAGTAATGTCATTTTACTTCAAAACCAATAGTATGTTCCTATTAAGTAATATTTACTTAGTGTAAAAGTTTTTGTATGCAAAAAAGAAAAGCATTTTACATTATTATTTTTAAATGTAGACAGGCCCAGTAATCTGAATATTCCCTGTATGCAATATTTTTCAAACATAAACGTGGAAAATAAAGTGAAGATTTTCTGAGACATCTGTATTCATCTCAGTTTTGTTGTGTGTCACAAGAGGTATGTGTAAAGAACAAATATGCTTTCTTTGTTTTATGAATAACTCAGGATGAAGTAGCATTTTGGTTTTAGCCATTAGCAATGAATTGGAACTCCTGATGATGAATTTCAAACCAAGTTTACTCCACAGAATTCTGAAGTACTTTGAAGTAAAAACAAATTCTATTGAAAGAGATACAAGACATGTTGAGATCTTGATTTTCTGATCAGGTAAGACATAGGTAATGGTACTACAAACTTCTCAGCTTCTACTAATATATC